AAGACAACTGGGCTGATTAAACGGCGTACACCTGGCGCACAGTCCAGTTCCCCCGTATCTCTCCCCCACTTGTCCCTCAAAAGCTCTTACCTGCGGGCTGCGAACACTGAGCATACCTGCTTGGTCGCGATCCTCTCCTCTCTCTGCCTTCTCACCACGGTCTTCTCATCTCATATCCGCCAAAGGCTATCCTCGCCTTGCTTCAGACTGTCCGTATGGATGCGCACACCTGGCGCACATCGCTCCCTCCTCCTTGCTGTTTTCCCCGCCTGACCGTCACCCGCTCCATCTCGTACTCGTGGGCGGGCACGCCTTGCACGCTTCCTCAACCGCCTCGCTGTTTCGCACTCCCCTCGCTCACACGCAGTAACCGCCCGAACGTGGACGCCTCTGCCTTGCTTGCAAGGGCGGATACGCCTTGCTCGCACCGGGTGTCCTCCTCAAAAAAATGTCGGGCCTTCCATTGTATCCCTTGCTTCCCTTGTGCCTGCGACATGTCCCAGTTTGCTGCGCGGCCGCCCTTGCTCCCTTTAACCGCCCGGCCGCTGTGCTCAGGGTGTCCACGGGCCCTTAACCCGCCTGCATCTCCCCTCTGTTCCGAACCCGGTACTTCGGCTCTCCGCCCCCTTTCGATTGCATGCCTCGGCCTCCGCGGACTAGAGGCGTCCCTGTGGAGACTCTTAGTTATGTAGATGAATTTGGACCGGGGCACAGCGGCGAAAATGACCGGCACGCACGAATCTGAGATGGCCTGCAAATAAGCGGCCTGACGCGGTATACGAGTTATCCCATGGCCTCCTGTGCCAGGTCCGCAGCGTTGACCAGGCCTGCCGAATAGAGGTGGCACGTAGCGTCTCAGTGTCATACCGAAAAATTCTAAATCAGATGTTGTGCCGGTACCGCAGCCGAGCCGAAACAACGTGTCGTGGGCAGCATCAGCTGGTATCAAACCGACACCGCACACCGAAGCTGAGATATGCAGCGGGGTTTACCGGACCGATGTCGATTACCGAGGTAGCCCGAAGCCCTGTTACACCGTTGCACCAGTCGTGAAAGTAACCACCGCGATGGCTTGGAACCTGATAATAATTCACAGCAGTCTCTGTGACCCTGAAATAGGCCGCCGTAGTCGCGCCGAAGCCGAAATAAATCGCCGTAGTGGTACTGAAACGGAAACAAGGCGTCATGGTCGTTCTGAACCTGCAGCGCCCCCAAGCCTGAAAACATCTGACGCCGTGCTTATACCGAACCAAAAACACGTCGGATTCCGTAGGATGCAGCCACTCCATAACAATGTCGAATCTCTTGATCCACATACCCGTACCAAGCCACACAGCATTCTGTCGACCCAAGGTAGCACCACCCCATGCTGTCCATGCGACTCTTGCTCTCAGAACATCCCAACTGTGGTAATGTTAGTAATCAGGCAAACCAGGGAAAGCGACGCAGGAAACCCCGATCCTCGGCAGTAGTGAAAACTGTTAGAATCCGGGGAAAATGATAAATCCAGGGTCAGTGTTGATGACGGGTAATCGAGGCGAAATAAGGCCAATCTCTCAATAGTCGTGGGTTCCCGTCCCTCTCATCGTTTTTTAATCATTCTTCCTTTTCCTTAATTCTATTGTCGGAAATAGTAAATTAACCGTAAATCCCCCAAAATTAAATTTCAAGAATGTTTAAATAAATGGCCGAATTTCTTTTGTTTATTCTCTTTTTTTTCTATGTTTTTAATCTCATTGTCGGGAACATAAAATAACAAGGGTATTCCCCTTAGAATTAAATGCCGTGAAAAATAAAGAAATTAAGGGATATTATATTTTTTTCCTTCTCTGCTTCTGGTCTTAATCTCTTTCCCCCATCTTGAATTACGGTATTAAAATAGACAAAAATTTGAGGCCTCATTTCGGCCCCGGTCGTGCTGAGTGCGGCCACTCATCTCGCCGTCTTTTAGGGTTGCTCGTAAAGCTCAGTGCGCCCAAAATCAGGGGTGCCTTGAGCTCCCCTAATTTTTGCTGCCTGGTCAACCCGGAGCACCGTCAAAACACGGACTTGTCTTTGAGCCTAAGACCCAAAGCCGCAGATTTCAGGCGGCGCACTGCTTGTGGCCGCCTGACAGTTAGCCCGGACCACTTCTCGACGCCCCCGTCGAGCCCTTACCACTTACGTTAGAGGAAGCGGATGAGCTTCAGGGTGATTGCTCGTAAAGGACGCCCACGTCGGCGTTTAATTGTCTTATGTTTCAGTTTGTTTTGAGTTCTAGGGCTAAGTAGATGTTTTTTGACTTTCCTTTTCTGCCGGGTTCTCGGCCTTGGTAGGATCCTTTTTTTCTTTTGACGTTGGCCCGAGAAAGGTTCCGATCCGCCATTTTGTCTAATGCGCACTCTTCGTCTGACTCTCTTGAGCACGAATAACCATTTCTTCTCCCTTCCTAATGCCAACCCTTTGACCTTTTTTCTCTCTACTCTTTTCCTCTTCTTGGAACTTTCGCCTGCCTCGAATCATCTCAAAGGGGCTCCATCCTCCATTTTAGCCTTCCCTTTTCCTTTTGGGCCCGTCAGCGATAAGGTGGGTGCTGGCCTGGGCCTAAACAACTTGAACTTAGCACCCGCCACTGGGTCCTTCCACTTGCATCCGTCTAATTCTGCTATCATATAGGCCCCCCAGTCGAGCGCCTCAACCACTCTGTAAGGTGCCATCCATCTGTTGGCGAGTTTCCCGGTCCAGGTCCTCTCCAGTGTTGCGTCGTAGAGAAGGACCATATCTCCTACGCTCACCCTCTCTTTCCTAACCCGCACGCTTTTATCCCATCTCTCTTTACCTTTGTCCCTCTCCACTGCCAGACGATTTGCCTCTGTCATAAGGTTGTCTTCCAACCCGTAGGCTATCTGTCTCGTTCGGGCAGCTATGAGTTCCCCTCTGGACATCTCCTCCGCCCAACCGACGGTTGTCCAGCTGTCATTGTGAAACTCTATGGGGAGTGGACAATGCCGCCCAAACCACAAAGTGTATGGTGGGTATCCTGTGCTAGCCCGGACCGTGACGTTGTCTGCCCATATTGCGTATCGAAAATATCGTGGCCAATCACTGTCCTTACCCTTGCACCACTTGGATAGTGACGCTATCAGAGTCTGGTGTCCCCTCTCTACTGGGGAGTTCGACTGTGGGTGATAGGCGGTGGCTATTGAAACTCTCGCCCCAGCTCTCTTGAACACACTCTGGACCTCGTCAGCTAGATATTTCGCCCCTCTGTCCATCACTATCTTGCTGACACAACCATACCTAGATAAGTACTCCAGGACGAAGTTCTTCACTTCCTTTGCCGTCTTACTCCTGATAGGTCTACCGTCCACGAACCCAGTGAAGTCGTCTCGTATGTTCACGACGTAGTTCATATTGCCTACTCCTTTCGGCATCTTCACCAGATCGATGTTTACCTTCTCACCTGGTCTGGTTGGATAGGATGGATGAAGTGGCTCTTTGTATTTCACAAGAGCTCTCTTTTGGCACTCCTCGCAAGTCATACAGTATCTCTCGACGTCCTTATACTGTCCTTCCCACCAGTACAGCCTGCGTACCTTTTCGTAGGTCCCTTTTACTCCTTTATGTCCTTCGACTACCCCGTCGTGAAGCTCCGCTACTATCGTCTGTCTCTCCTCAGGATCACAGACTACTCGTAAGGGCATTACCGACCCGACTGGTCTTCGGAAAAGGTGGTCCGCTCTAAAGCAGTACTGGGTTGCTTGTCTCCGGATGTCTGAATCTTGACTCTCCTCACCCGACAAATGTAGCCCGATCGTTCAGTATTTGTCCTCGTAGAGGTTTACCATAAGTCGGTCGGCGCGTCTCGGCTCTGCCAATGTGAGGACTCCAACTACTATCGGGCGCTCGACCTCAAGAGGGATGCGCGAAAGCCCATCTGCCACAACATTTTTAGTGTCAGATATCCTCTCAACTGTGTAATCATATAGCCGAATCCGTATTAACCATCGAGCGATGGTCGGGTCCGTCAGACTAAAGTCCTTTTGGAGGACAGAGACAACCGTTGTGGGATCTACTCTCAAGATGAACCGACGTCCATAGATATAGTGTTTGAACGTGTTTAGACACCGCAGAACAACTAACACTTCCTTCCTGAATTGACTGTAGTTTCGCTCTGCCGTATTAAGTGTCCAACTCTCAAATCTTAACGGTCTTTCCTTCTCGTCAGCGTCTTTCTGAGACAGCAACCCTCCTACCGAACAAGGTCCAGCATCCGTGGATACTATGAAGGGTCTCCCAGCCTCGTCATCAAAGAACGACACTCCCAGTACGCGTCCTCCCTCCTTAAATTCGTCTTTAAGCTCTTGCATAGTGAGTTCCTACGAGGAATCCCAGTGGAATTTTTCAGTCTTTCGAAGGAGTAACCTCAATGGCTCAGCCTTCTCCGCATACCCCCGTATGAATATACGCCAGTAACCGACCACTCCCAGAAACTGTCGGACCTTGGTTGGACTATGTAACGGTGACGACCAGCTTAGGAGTTTGTCTAGCTTCACCGGATCTGCTCGGCATCCTCTCGAGTCACATATAAATCCCAAGATCTTAATAGTCGAGACGGCCCATCGGCTCTTTGTTCCGCTGATCGTTACATTCGCATCGTCCAGCTGCTCAAGTACCGCGCAAATATCTGTTAGGTGCTGCTCGACAAATCTTCAAACTCCTGGTACAACCTCTATCTCATCCTTGTTTACTGGCCCTTTTATAGGAAAGTCATCCAGAAAAACTTCAACCTTATCAGGGATGAAGTCCTTGAGGATCGAGGGTCAACCCTACCCCGCTCCGAGTCGCTGAAAACTATAGTCTTATCACATGTCTTCAGGATTTCTATCACACGTTCTCGCTCCTGTGGGGTCAGATTTCCATCTCCCATGTCCATCCCTGCTATCCTCTCTTCCGTTAGGCGTTGCGGCTCCTTTTTCTTTCTTTCTTTGATTTTCTTTGTGATCTCTTCTTCCGATATCCCTTCCAGTGCAGATCGCTCGCGGCCCACCACCGCTGGCTTAACTTTTTGAGCTACTCGCTTGTGTCGCTTGGGTAGCCCCCCATAGGGGGCCGTGCCCTTAAAAAAGACACAGATACCACACCGCCAAACTCCTCATCTGTCTCCTTTGGGTACGAGTTGCCGTCCACTATCAGCCGACTCCCTAAATCTTCCACTTCCACGATCCGACATTCTTCCTCTGTGAGCAGTGGTCCATACTTCTTCTCGCGAAATCGCACCGCACGGCCGGAGATAGGTAATGACTTAATCTGATCACTGGGTCTTGCACCCACAGCGAGAGCTGCTCTGTTCCTCGGGTCCCGAGGCTCCACTGTCTCAATCATAACCCGCGTCCCATCTAGCTTCTTAATGGATAATGTCTGGCTCCCATCCGGTCGTTCTATCGTCACCGCATGCACGTGGCTCAACCACGTTCGTCCCAAGAGCAGATCGGAGCTGCAGTTCTTGACTGCAAAGACCGACAGGGTCACTCGTATGCCTTGGACCTCTATGGCTGCCTTGTGACAAACCCCGGTGATCTGTTGCTTTCTCCCATCAGCCGTCTCTATCTCGAATAGGTACGACCTATCGAGGCCCAGTCCAACCTGCACTGCCAGATCCTCGTCTATAATAACAGCCTCACTACCGTTATCGATCACAGCATCTAGTACCACCCCGTCGTTTATGATCGCCTCCACGACCCCACTACCAAGTATGTAAAACTTGTCTGGAGGGACACATTCTATCCCATCAAGAAGGAGTGTCGCCATGCGATCCGCTCTGGCAGTCACCTCCGATACTGCTACGGCGGGTGCATCCGCCTTTGGGGCCCCCTGAGCCTCCTTTGATAGAGGTATGCGAGTCTTCCGCGTGATCATCTGTAACTCATCGCGAGCCGGCTTGGATGCCGCCAGATATTCTAGGATAGAGCACTGCATGGGCTGTCGAAGGGCCCGCCTCAGTGGATCGACCGTGTCAATCTCGTCCAGCGAAGTCTTCATCAAGAACTTCTTCACTCCCCGCTTCCGCGGTGAGAGAATGACCTCCTCTACATCAGTCCGTTGTCCGTCCTTCTCCGCCATCACGTAATCAGTGTTAGTCTTCTTCGATGTAGACCCCCTTGCCGATTTGGTAGCTGCTTCCCTTATGGGTGTGGTCGCCATATCCCCTTCGAAAGTTATCTTGATGCTCTGGCTCCTAACCGGTTCCTTCCCTTTACTCGGCTTTACTCTCCTTGCTTCAACATTCTCCTTCATCGAAGGGAACATCGATACGTCTCCCAGATCATCTGCCCACTTGACGTACTTGCGGTCATCAAGCACGACAAGTCCCTAATCTATTGCCCGTTTGAGGTCCGGGCAATCTCTCTTGATATGATCATCCCCCCTACAGTAAACGCAAGAGTTCCTGGGAGTGGGTAGCCTGTCGTTTGCACCTTTGGAGGTCGAACCTCTCGCTGCTCTGGGGTCAGGGGACTTTGGATACGGATCAGACGACGCGCTGCATCCCCCTCTCTCATTCCTGTCGCGCGAATCATTGCGGTGGTCTCCATGTTCGTATCACCCGCGTGAATCATCACGTCGGTCTCCTCGGTCGTATCGCCCCCGGGAATCATCACGTCGGTCTCCTCGGTCGTATCGCCCGCGTGAATCATCACGTCGGTCTCCTCGCTCATATCTGCCACCCCTGTATCCGTCTCGATCCGACCTCTCATATCTGTCGTCCCTATGTCCATCTCGGTCCGATCTCTCATATCTACCATCCCTGTATCCGTCTCGGTCCGATCTCTCATATCTACCATCCATGCATCTGTCTCGCCGGCCCTGATCCGACTCCAACCGGCCTTGAGAGTCGCCTCTACCCCCGTCAGGCTCATAGCGAGGGCTACGCGAGTAGTCATCCGGTCTCCTAGCTCGCCCATAGGTCTCGCGAGTCCTGCGGTCCCAGTCTATCTCATCATCCCTACGTCGCCATGGCTCATCGTCTCTCTCCCTTTCCCTCGCACGATAATCAATCAGCGTTCGAGGATTTCTATCCTCGATACTCCTCCAGGAATCAGTGTTCCTCCGGTCCCAGCGAAGTGAATAGGGCCCTCCGGGCTTGTCCCGGTATGCCGTGGCTCCCGTGGTGGTCACAATCTCTATAACCTGTCTTGTCAATCCCTTTACCATGTCCCTTATCTCCTTCACTTCCTCAGCCACGACTTATTCTTTTCCGACCAGGGATAGTCCTTGAAATCAGGACATCTATAAGTGGCATACTCCTTGTAGAAAGAGAAGTCACGTCTCCTCATCCCTCTTCACACCAAGTCCTTGTAGTCGTCTGCCTCTGCCTTTATCGCGAGCTTTAGGACTTCTGGGAAGTCAATCTTGTTGCGCGGAAGTTCTCTAAGTATACTCTTTTGTCTACCTTTGGACAGGTGTCCGATGAAGATAGTACAACGCTCGACCTCTGAGATCTTCCCCTTCTTCATCAGCACGTCGGAGATCTTCTGGAAACGCATCCCAAATGCCCGTACGCTCTCATCTTCATCTTGAGTCATTATCTCAAGGTCCTTGATGGAGTACTTGTTATCCTTCAATTTGTAAAGCTCAACGAGGTTCTTTTTGTACGTAGTCCATTTCCCATCCCTCGGTCGGGCTTCCTTAACTTCCTTTCCGAGACTTGGGTCCACATTAAATAGGAAGTTCTCTATAATCTCTTCCTCCGACCACTGACTCCAGCTGGCGTGAAGCTCCCACTTCTCCAGATATTCTGTAATGTCATAGCCCCTGAAAGTGGGAGGCTCCGAGGCCTTGTGCGTAATAATATAGCGATCCTTGCTCTCGTAAGGGAGCGGATGTGACTCCCCCGTCTGGGGGTCGAAGACACGCCGGGGCTGTGCTCTATCCCTGTCTCTGTCCCTCCAATAGGAATCCCTCGAACTCTCTCTCCAGTCGTCCCTGTGCCTATCCGCCATGGTTTCCCGCCTAATTCGTTCCTTCAGATCCATTAGAGCTCAGTCGGGAGATGTCATGTACTCCTCCCCCGCTTCGCCCCTGGTCGGTTGTGGCCCCATCTTGTCTGGTTCCATAGGCCACTAGATGACGCAGTTAGGCACTCTCGCCGGGTGTTACAGCCCGGACCTATGACAGTTGCTGCAGCCTGGACCTATGACAGAACTCGCAGCCCGGACCAGCGACAATAGCAGTAGCCCGGACCTATTTCCTTGTCACGGTTCGCGTCCGCCTCCAATCCTAGCTCTCGACTGCCCCGATTACCACCACCAGTACTCCATTCCGGTCACGGATCTCGTGCTCTCCCTCTATCCCAAGAATCCCTGTGTCTAGGTAAACCTCTCCCTCGGGATCGCTCAACAAGGCCGCGCCTCTCCGGATCTGCAGTACGCCCGTGACAGGATCTCTACGTCTGTAGCAGATCGCAGTCCCAAGCCTAACCAATGTCTCCTGATCAGCACCCCTCAAGAGCCTCCGAGCGTCTATCTCCGTCCTCCTTGTTAGGTCTCCCATCCCGTCCTGAATCGGGTAGCCCGCTAAAGGGGGAAACTTTTTTCCTATTGTCATCCAAAGTCGCTCGTCGACCTTTCTGACCTCCACTTTCTTTCCTAGAACTTCCAATCTTTATTTCTCCTCCTTTTACTCCCAGACTGCTATGAGGTCACATGTTTAGTATCTGAGGGTAGTCAGTGCTATAGCCGCTCGCAGTCTCACTGCCGACAACTCCAATGTATCATAGAATGTCTCAAAATCCTCCTCATCTCCACTATCCTCTATGACCTCTAAAGTCTTTATCGATTCCCTCCAGTATCGATCGTGAGTGGCGAGCACCCTAAGTATTGCACCGTCTGCTACAACTTTCCCTAGCTCTCCAGCTTTCCTGGCTTCGCTTATCTTCAACCTCCCAGCCTCTCTGGTCGTCTCGTACCATGCCCTTATCCGAGACCGCCCTTCGAAAGGTGTCACTCAGAGTACGTATTTTATCCTTCGTCCTCCTTCTACTACAATCCAAAGTCCTGTCCCCCTAGCCTCACGCGGCGCACAGCGGACACACTCTGCCTCCTCAACTATGCACAGTCTGGTATGGAGCTGGAGCTCTACGATCACTAACACCAATGGTTCGTCCAGTCTCCCTACCACATGCAATGAGTACCGATCCGTCGTGCGTAGTGCGGTCCCGCCCATGTCCTGTCGCTACCTCCCTGCGTTACCATGTCCTCCGTTGTCACGCCCTCTGCAGACTTCTCCCCAGTTCCTTCGCGTGATACGCTCCTAGCCTTTACCCTCTCCAGAAAGTCTGATCTCCACGCCTGGATTATCTCTCTTTCCTCCCTGAACAAACTCTCTAACTCTCTCGTCACGAGCTCAACCCTACGCAGCTTTCCCTCGTCCTGGCACATCCCGATCTTTCTTATCTTGTTTCCTAACTCCTTTACCTGGCTCAAGAGTGGTTCTTTAATGCGCTTTCTCACTCTTCCGACTGCCTCACTCTCCTCTTCCATAGTTAGTCCTCATCTCTTTCCAACTCATCCTCTCACCCTCGCTCTAGCCTCCGCTACCATCTCGTCGTGGAAGTGCTCCGCGCGCATATAACCATGAGACCATATCATCACATCATAGGAAATCGAGGTCTGGAAGGTCACACGCGCCAGTACATCAGCTCTATGCTCGTGGATCAAATCCCTGGCTCGTTGTCGGCACTCCCTCGCCGTCAAGTCCTCATCTATGTACGCTCGGAGAAGTACTGCCACAGTGTACCCTGTGCTTACCAGTTGCTCTTCTACGCGCATCACTGTAGCCGTCCTCCCCGGCATTCCCTATGCTACGACCTCGAAGAAAAATCTCACATCCTCTAGCCCCACATAATCAATCTCCGCCCGTCTCCTGCAATACCTAATCAGATCGACTGTTCTCAGACAGTCCACCCAGCAAGTAACGTCTATGATGTCGTCAAGCGTCTCTCTACTGGGTGGTCCCCACCTCACACAAATGGCGTAGTATACTTCCCTGAAACGGGGAGCTAAGCCCTCCCAAAGTGCATAGAGTGTGTGGTCCACTACTTTACTCAGACGATCTACGCTCCCATAGGTCTGCCCTATTACGAAACGAGGAAGACCAAATCGCCAACCCTCCCTCGGGTAGAGGGTCGGATGCGGAGGCCCGTATACCAAGCGACTCCAATACGTCCTTCCTCCTGAGAGTCTCGCCAGCTGCTGATTAACGACCACTCTGGCCAACAACTCGCTTCTCCATCAAGCCCTGCTTGCCCCTGCGAGTATCAGTCCTACCTCTAAATCGTGTGCTCTATCCGCTATCAGATGTCCCACCCCTTCTAGGTCATGAGTCCTTTCGGGTCGTCCATCTTTCAGTATCACTGTCCAAAGGAAGAGTCCCTCTGCCAGCCACATTCCAAGGTAACGTATCGGAACACACCCTGTCCCCTCTAACGCCACAGGAAGAGGAATGTTGTATCCAACAACCATCTCTTTGGGTCTCACAAGTTTCCTCACGCTATAGGATTCGGACTGTCGAGAGAACATAAGCTAGCCAGGCCACTGAGTCACTCCTCATCTCCCCTCCAGCTCTCGATCTGTATCACTCTACTCCCTCCGACGCACCCTATCTCACGACGCTGCTAACTCCTCAGACAACTCTCCCACTCAGATCCAGTATGGCCGAGTAGGTGTTGTGCACTCTCCCGTCAACTCCATGGAAGTAGATAGTGAACTCGACGTACCTCTGGCCTCTCCGTATCTCCAGGGCATGCTCCGTCATGAGCCTGATCTGTTGCTCAACATTGCCCAATGCTTCATCCTCCCAGCCACATGTCCTATCTCGCCGTAGGGAAAGAGTCACTCCCACTATATCCCTGCCTGCCAACCTTTCCTGCTCTCGCTGCCAGTCTCGCCTTGCCCAAAGATATCTACTTACCGTCTCTCCACTACTCCCTTCTCTAATCCTCACTCGGATACGCCCTGCCTCTAGTCGTCTCATGCATCTGGCATATCCTCGTCTATGTCCTCATCTACCCTCTGACCCCATGGGATATCCTCCTGTCCCTCAGCATGCGCCAAATCTCCCCAGACCTCGTCCTGGTCACCCCAAAGGTCTATGTCATCGAAGTCCTCCCAATCCCAATCCTCAGCGTACCATGCAAGATCGTCAGCCTCTGGATATACTTGCCGGTAATACTCCTCAACCTCCCCAGTCGAGATGAGATGGCCCGGCCTCTCCTCACGAGTCTCGGCTAACAGCTGTTCTACTCCAGCTAAATGATCTGTTGGCCTCTGAGCCTCTCTCTCTAGCGCCGTCTAGAAGGCTAGGGGCTGATACAGAGAGTACAGGTCAGGGCTCCCGATAGGTACAATGACCCGCAGGAAATCAATCAAATGGAGCCCTCGCTCGCCTACAAGCGGCCCCGCTACAAACTGTGCATACAACACCCAGTCCCTGTCAGCATACCCTCGGCAGAGGCCGTCCAAGTCAAGAGCCGCAAAGTAGATCTCACCCAGACGCCTAAGTCCCCAAAGCTCCTCCGCCACGAAGCACGGAAGTGTCACACGCAGTCGACTGCTAGGATATGGGAAGTGTCCTCCAATCCTAAAGGTCGTCGTCACTCTCCGAACACCCCCGTGCAGCCGCTCTACCTCGCCCCGCAAGGAGTCCGATCGAGCCAGTAAGATCCTCCTCGCGGTCTGCTCCTCTCGCCAATGATCGTGCACGAGGCCGTGAAAATAGACCGTGGCTAGCACCTCCTGCGAGTAGTAAATGTGGTCCACTACCTCTATACTAGTCGTGCCAGGTCGTCGCCACCTCTGACTGTCTAGCTCAAACGTCTCAATGACATACGTCCACAAATGTACGTCTGGGGCCAACACCGTTGATGACCATCGACTCTCTATCGCATCCGCGGAAACCCCTCTGGCCGGCAGA